AAAGAAAAGAAAAGAAAAGAAAAGAAAAGAAAAAAGAATCGATTAGATATTATTGAACTTTTCTACAAAAGCTGTCCTTAGAAATTACCTGGAAAAGATGATGATGATGATTGTCCGAGTAGTAGAAAAAAGCATGGCAGCAGATGAATCGAAATATATTATTTGGARTGAGGAGGAGGAGAAGGATGGCTTAGAAAAAGAATGATAATTATAATTCTTTGGGTTTCGAAGTTGCCCCGAACTTAAAAAGAATTTCTCGAGAGCTAATTCGAAGAAGAGACAAAGGGTGCCATTTTTCTCTCCTATGTAGTTTGTTTTTTATCTCTTTTTTTTTTTTTTATTTCTCGTGTGTTCGTAGTATATCCATAAATTCATAGGACGAAACACAGAGCAAGCATATCATCCATTTTTAATATTTCATTCGTAGAAACGTTCGTTCGTTTTTCTTCTTTAACTTTTAGAGTCAACTTTTAAGATACATATATATATATATACACCGTAGAAAGGCAATTTATGGAAAAAGGGTTTGCGGTCTTCCGACCTTCATATTTACGTTGCACAGCACAGCTGGACTTTAACCGCACGAAAGCGGTTCTTCTTGCTTTAGCCCTGAAATCACACGCTTCCCGATTTAACGCGTTTTGCCATGCACTCACTCCTATCATCTATGAGATTTGCATACGTTGATTTTTATCTTTTTTTTCTTTTTTTTTTTTTTTCATTTTACTATACACATATATATATTTTTGTTGGTTTTATATTATATTGAGAAAAGTTGTCCATTCAACTTAATTTTTTTATATACTCGTTCCGTCTCCCATGTGCTATAAACAAAATCAAACAATAGGGTGAAAAACATTCCACGTATCGAAAAATTCTTCAAATTTATTATACCATCTGCTATATTGGAATTCGAATGATAGAAAAGTCGTCCTAGTTCTTTCATCTTATAAATCCAACGGATAATCTTCTATAAAGAACTTAGAAAATGAATAGAATACATTAAAATAAAAAAAGAAAGGAATTTGGACATTGCAATCTCATCTTACGATCAATCGGACGAAATACCAGGTGCATTACGTTTTCTTTCGTTGTACTTCTCTCTTTCTCTCTTTCTTTTTCTTTTTCTTTGGCAAAGAAGAAGAAGTAGACGTAGTAGTAGTAGTAGTAGTAGTAGTAGAAGAAGAAGAAGAATAAGAAAAGAGTAAAGAAGAAACTCGCTGGCAAAGTCCTGAGGATCGTGGCCGGTGAACGGGTGTGAACGCTCGTACGTGCCAGAAACGAATAATGAAGCCGTGCTACGATCCACGATAAAACCCGATGCCCCGACGTTGGAACGCCACTCACGTATAAATCTTTTACCTTGTACCCGATTTGCGAGCGCCGTACCACACCACCACCACCACCACCCCCTTTCCTCCCGCACCCCCTACCGCATTGCCACAATTCAACATCACCGTCTCTAGAAGACAAGTTACCCTGTGACCAATCATTTTCTATGACTCCTATTTCATCTACCAACTCCTTAATTTCATTCTCTAAAATGACATTTCATTTGGTAAAAAAAAAACAACAAGGATTTGTTATCATTAACTAAAATATTCAGTTGTCGATTGAATATCATACAATTAGGGTATCGTTTAGGTTTAATTTTGTTAGGTAATTTGGTTGAATTAATACAAAAATGGATAAAGTGGAATGTTTTGTAAGGAATAGATTAAAAAATTTAGGAGCAACGTTAATGAGTTAGCGATCACCTACGATCACACATCGCAAGGTATAACTATACGAACACGTGACAGCGTTCTTCCTCCTTCCCCACGCCCCCACTAACACGTTGTCGTTAGTTTATTTATCATCGTTAGTTCTAGCTTAAAATAGTTTAACTTGGTTTAAATACTTTTGCTTGTTTTTCTTTTTTTTTTTTTTAAAGTCGAACAGGTACGCGTAATCTTAGGATCTCGATGAAACTCATATACGCGTGTCGGTAAAATATATATATATATATATATATATATTTATTTATCAGGGCTATCGAGTTGTGGCAAATGATCAAACTAGTTCTAACGTGTGCGTGTAGAGAAGTCAGTCGCATAGCACTCCTCCTCGTGGTCTCGCTTTCTCGCGAGAGGTATATAAGAGTAAGTATATAACATAACTTTGTGTTACAGTGTAATAATGTTAACATGCTTAACAGATTTATTCGACATATTTTAACAGAAAATTTGATATTTTTGTTGTTGTTGTTTTAACTTTTGACCTGTACATACACACACACACATTGAACAAAATTACTACTTGTCTTTTGCGACATTTATATATATAATATATGTATAATAACACACACAATAACACACATACATATTGAATGAAATTACTACTTGTCTCTTTTGCCACATTCATATATATATATATAACATGTATATGATACATACACAATTACACACACATGCACACATACATTGAATGAAATTACTACTTGTCTTTTGCTACATTTCTTTTATTCCTAGATTTTCTATCTTTCTTTTTTATTAATTATGTTAGTCTTCTTCTTCTTCTTCTTCTTCGTTTCTCATAAGGTAACGTAAGTAAGTAGTAAGTGGTTACTATCATCCGGATATAAAGGAGGGGGAGTGGGAGGGGGAGGGGGAAATACCACGAGAAATTCAGTTAGACTCGGTGAAAGTACCAATGGACTGTATGTACCAAGGGGTACGTACGGCTTCTGAGAGTTCACGCACACGCCTGATAACCGCGATGCTGTATACGAGATAATAGCACGGTTATTACGTAGTACCATCGCAACGCGGAAGCCTCCCTTCACCCCACCCATTTGTCATTTTCAAATCGAGAAATTCTCCATGGAAGAAAGGGGGAATACGTTTCTATATAGTGTTGATTTGATTTTTTTTTTTTTTTGAGAGAGAGAGAGAGAGAGAGATCATCGAGTATTACGACTTGGTATTTTTATTTTGGTTGAATCTTCGACAACTGTAAAAATAACGCATTTAATTTGTAAGATGTAAAAGAAAATTATAATGGAAATAAAAATGATAATTGGGTAATAGGGATGGGGTTAAGGGAGTGGAGAGTAGAGGGGGAAAGCTTATACGGATGCAATTATTGTTATCTTTGTCGGATCTTTTTTTCCTCCCGATTATTAATAATATATATACATATATATATAATATTAATACAATAATATTAAATTAAATTAACATATATTAATATAATAATATTAATATATATATTATAATTTATTTGTATCGACGATTTTTATATGCATCCACATTTTGTATATATATATATATATATAATATATTTATATTATATATTTATTATATCCAAATAATAAATTTATATTATGAATAATCTATAGGAAATATAAATAATATATATAAAATGAAACTTTATCGAGTTTTGTTCATGGATTGGGTGGTTGTGGTGGTATGTTCCACGGTTGTGTTGTGTACATCGAACAGCTCGAATTCCTCGAACTTAATCCGAGCCTGAGTGCACTCTACCGCGGTATGCACTCGGAATGCAGCTCTCAAAGTGGGCTGCTCTTAGTTATCACCGCGCATCGTGGAACATGGCTACTTGGTGAAAGTAGCTCCACCTTCGCAACGCGAGCGCGTATGTGGATGCTCGCCAGGATTCCGCGCATACACATGAAGACGAAGACGAAGACGAAGACGACGAAGACGACGATCAACTCTCGTAGTATTCGTTCCCTCTCGTACGTTTGTTGTGTTCGTTCGTTCTTTCGTTCGTTCGTTCGTTCGTTCGTTCGAAGAAGAAGAAGAAGAAGAAAAATCAGAAGAGTTATCTAGATGTTGATTTATTTTTTTATCAAACATCGTTTCAATTTTATCCAATTGAATAATAGAACGAACATAATTCATTAGTTTCACAGATTGACCTGGTTAACTTATTTCTAAAGAGGTTCAACTTTAAACTAATCCAATAAAATCTATTTACATATATATATATATATATAATATTTAATTATATAATTTAATTTAATATAATCAAAAATAATAAAATAATATAAAAATAAAAATAATAAAATTTTAAATTAAATAATTAAAAAGTAAATTATTTAATTTAATATGAATATAATTTATATATATTAAATATATTTATTTATATTATAATATATTATTATATTTTATATATTATTATAATATTATTGATTAATTACAATAAGATATTTCATTGAATAATATTTTAATACCATATATATCCTTTTCATGGATAATTTGATTAGTCAAAATAACATTTGAATTTCAAATATTATAATTAATAAATCGATATTAATTAAAATGAAATATTTTATCTTGATATATGTGTGTTGTACGTAGATTTTAAACGTCATTCTATCATTTATAGGATTAGAACTCGAGTATTCTTATTAGATAGGTAGAATGAGATATAGAAAGAGATAGATAGATACAGAGAGAGAACGGGGCGAGGAGATGAGGAGGAGGAGGAGGGGTRTGACGCGAATGACTCGACTACGATGTAATCGGCCGTAACTTGCGTATAATTAACATTTTCATAGATACACTCGGTTCAGTTTACTACTCCGTAACTGTTCGAAAGTCCTCGAGTTCCGATTCAATTCTTGTGGTATTTGCTTAATAATAATAAAAAAAATAAAATAAAAATAAAAAATAATAAAGTTAGTACCGATCGATAAAATTTGATTTTCAAAAAAGTTTGATGAGTCTACGAAAAAATTAGTCAATGATTGGAGGATTTACATTTTTTAAAAAAATTTCAATGAGTCTACGAAGAAATTAGTCAACGATCAATGAACTATGAAGAAATTCGTCAATGATCAAAAAACATTGACTGAACTTTTCGTAGACTCGTGCATTGACGAATTTCTTCGTAGCTCATAGATTTTCTAAAATTGAAAAAATTTTTTTCGTACATTCGTCCATTGACTGAACTTTTCGTAGATTCGTGCGTACATCTTTTTTTCTCTTTTTTTCTTTTTTTCTTTTCGACAATCAAACTCGTCCTAATATCTTGACATATTCATCAGTAATGTCGATGTGGAAAGGTGAGAACGAGTTTAATTCGAAAGAAATCGTCGTCGTAGTCGTGTCGTACACTTTCGCTGATTTTCTCGTATGATGTTAAGCAGACCCTTTTAAGGTTACGGGTTACATCAAACTCGATCAAATGGAATGAAATTTACAACTACTTAAAAAGATATAGGGGTTGTTTTTGTAAAATATGAATTATTAGTTTGTAACAATTGTTAATTACAACTGTGCAATATTTTTGATAATTCAAATTAAAAATTTCAATCATTTTAAATTTAATCGCGAACTCATTGTGTAATTAAACAATTCTAACACTCCCTATACCCTTTGTAATTTTGTAAATTCATTGATTTGTTTGTTACAAAATAATTTCATATATGTACAATTAAAAAGTAGTATAAACTTGACCCAGAGTAGTATAAAATATTTGTTCCACTTGTGTTACTATATAAATATGCATTTTCTTTAGATCTATTATCAAAAAATTCAATTGAACCTTATGATACCTTGATCATCACGCGAGAAATAACATGAACAACAACAAGTGGTGGTAACATGCTTTAGTAGTAGCACTTGCGTGCGAATGTTCAAGACTAAGCATTATAATCGCATTAGAATTCCATTAAAAGATATTCCTTTTTTTTTTCCTTTCTTTTTTTTTCGTCTTCTTGCTCCTTCTCCTCCTCCTCCTCCTCTTCCTCCTCTTCGTTCTTCTTTTCCTTTTTATTTCTCACTAACACAAGCCAAAACGTGGTACGTGGCACTCTGACTTGGAACGTTTTCTCGTTCGTTTACAATAATAAATTAATTCCTATCTCGTTTTTAGATTATGCAAAATATCTATCCTGGAATTTAAAATATTGATTATTATTTATTTTCTAAAAGAAGGAAAAATAAAAACAGAACAAAATTCAAACCAGGTTACTTTACTTCTACGAGTTGTATCGGTTCGCGAGTAAAGAGACAAAAATAAAAAAACCAAAACAATAACAATAAAAAAAAGTCGATTGGTAACGGGTATATATATATATATATGTATAAAATAAAACTAAAATAAGTAGAACTTTCCATCGGTTTGATGAAAATTTTTCCGCCACTTACATTACCACTTGAACGAATCGTTTGCTGTCCTCTCGTCGGAGAGGAGAAAGTATGTAGTATATACGCCCAGGAGGAGGAAACGGAGAAATACGTGAGGAAACGAGACACCGATGAAGGCTCTCTAGAGTCCACGTTCATGTACACACGTATATACATATATATATATGTATGTGTATATATAAGAATCTGAAGTGAATCCCCCAAGACTTCAGAATGAAGAGGATCACTGAAGAAAAAGAGAAAAATAAAGAAGAGAATTGAAGGATAAACGAGTAGAAATGGTAAGAGAGATGAAGAAGAAGAAGATGAAGATGAAGATGAAGATGAAGAATAAAAAAAAAGGAAGGAGGTACAAAGGGGAGAATCATCGAGAGAAAGAGAAAGAGAGAGAGATGGTAGGGTAAAAGAAGAGAAGGAAAGAAACTGACGATGATTACTACGAAGGAAAAGTGGACGAAGAGGAGATGAAAGAGGAGGAGGAGGAATAAAATAGTAAGAGAAAGAAGATGCTGGCAATTTCTCTCTTTCTCTTTCCGCAACACTGGCTCGCGCATTCTTCCATCTCTTTCTATCACATTGCGAGATCCCCCAGCTTTCTCTGTCTCTCTCTCTCTCTCTTTCTCTCTCTCTCTCTTTCTCTCTCTCTTTCTTTCGAGAACCGCCCCACCTCTTCCGCTGTCCGGCCAATTCCTCGTATTATACCAGGTTGCGGTGTGGAATGCGGGCGTCCTTCGTTCGCTTCGAGCAGCATCCAAGCGATGAGCCCCTCTAGCGTTATCCTTCGTCGGACCTTCGCATGCGCACCTTTAGGGCTCGGTAAAATTAACCTGGAATACTCGACCGAGATGCTGACCGGGACCCTCTCTCCTTGGGTTCTTAACCTGCTATGGATTCGTTAAAAACGGATTTCATTCCCGACTTTTACACATCTTCCACGAATATCATCATCTTCTTTTTATCTCAAAGGACTTCTCTTCTATCTATCTTCATCGTCATGTTTCCTTTTTTATTGTTGCAAGGAATGGTCTAATTATTTAACAACGTACTATATCTATCAGAAGAATGAGCGTTTCATTGCGATAATTGACCTAATTTTAATTTGACTTTGAAGTATATAATCTAAAAGAATAAATGCGATTACATATTTGTTAAAGTTTTCGTTTAATACAGTTAGATTCGTTAATAACACAAGTTGCTGTTGCTGCTGTTGTTGTTGTTGTTGGTAGCTTCCTTTAATTCTAGGAATGAATTCAGTACCGGTCCAAGAAAGGATAGTAAATTAAAATTGCCACGAATGCAGAACGAACGTTAACGTCTTGTCGTTCTCTAGCTCAAGCGAATATAATGTCGATGGTGTGTTATTTTACTCTGATGGAGAAACGTTCAGAAAACGGTGCTTCTTCTCGTCTCGTCTCGTCTCATCTTTTCTCGTGTAAGAAGGATTTTTTTCTGCAGGAAGGTCAAGGCACATCTAGCGGATTTGTGCTAGTACGAAATTTGCATTATACAGGGTTGGTGAGTCACGTAATCTGTTACAAGACTCGTCGTCTCGTCTGTACCTTTTTGTTTTATTTCTTTTTCTTTTTTTGATCGTGAAAGATAAATGATTTATAAAGGCGAATCTTTGAAAACATGACAGCTAGAGTTCACGATAATTTATTCATTCCCATAGAAATGAATTTTTTCAGTCTTCAACTTGAACATTTTGTCCGATTATGAGATATATTTACTTGTAACTTATTAAGTGACATCAACAAGTATGATAATACCAAGTATGCAAAAAAAAAGAAAAGAAAAAAGTCGAGGCCGTATGTATGAGAATGAAAAAAAAAAATAAGAAATGGCAATAATATTCATGAAAATACGATAGGAAACACAAATATCAGTTCCAAAATCTCTCAAAGCAACCTGTTCGTAGACATAAATATTATTATAAATTCAAGAAATCACAGTGAATATATTAAATTCGATTATGAATATCAATATTAAAAATGATCAGATTAAAATTATATCAGTCTAGTCTATTTGTGTTATTTTATCAACTTATTTACGGTTTAAAGGATTTGATGAGCGAGAGAATTTCAAGATTAGTTAAAATAGTAGAGTAAAAGAAAAAGAGAGAAAGAGAAAGAGAGAGGAAGCAAAAGATATCTGTGTTTACTATGCCTGTATACCTAAGTACGTGTATACCACCACTGGGGAGGTATACACATTCGATGAGAACGCAAGCATTCCCGTACGCTTTGCTAGCGCATTAGCGCCTGAATGAACAAACAGGTATTTTATTATAATGAACGTTAGGTGCATTTTACTCGTGGTCTCTCATTAAACTACGTATTTACTTCGTGCTAGGAAACAAAAAGGTTCTATCATCCATTTTCTTGCATTTCACCAATCCAAGTGAGTTTTTTACTAAAAGTATATCATCTTTTCCCAACTTTTAAAGGATCATCATCCTACCTTCAGATTTTTCAATCGGAACCTTTGAAAAACCTTCGAACATACACACACACAAACACACACATGCACATACATATAGCTTTCCCGTTCGATTAATACACTATATAACGGTGTTCCCCTTTACTCTCGTCATTCTTCTCCAAGCTTCATAAAGTAGTGACCTCAGTTTACTTTTACTCTCTTATTAACGTACCGACCATGTCAAGGTACTCGAGAAACACCGAAGATGAGTAAGGACTCATTCCAAGACACGTTTTCACCGGTCTCTTTCAAAGATAAAAATAAATTCCAAACACAAACGCGCACACGCGTATATACATATGCGTGCACGCACTTACACATTCATATAACATAAGCGGGTACAAATATTATTACACATACAGGGTCTTGCCAAAAGATTCAATTTATGATAATACTTTAAGAGTTACATGAAATACCATTAATCGTTCGATTATACAAAACGAATATAAAAAACCATTTATACGAATATTTTCATCCTCAACACCCCCCCAACCCCCAATTCCTTCTTTTCCTTACCAATCAAAAAACCCACTTTTTTCATTTGACAATATTATTATCCTATATCGAGATTGTTCACAAATCCAAACGAGAAGAAAATATATATATAAAAATAAAAAGCAAAAAAAAGAAAAAGGACGAAAAAAGAAGAAAGAATTCATTTCTCCCCCTCTTCTTTTCCCTCCGGCGTATTGTGTAACGATAACGGAGGTAAACACCGGGGGGACCCGTGCGGATACGTTGAACGTTTACCGAAACGTTCGCAAATCTCGATGGAATGCCGTCGGACTGGTGTTACCGTGCTCGCGCGCACACACACACACACACGCGCGTACACGAGTTTGCCTGTGTTTGAGCGAACGAACGAACGAACGAACGAACGAACGAACGAACGAACGAGCACCTTCACCCTCACCCTCGCCCTCGCCCTCGCACCGTCCTAAGGTGACACGAAGAGAGAACCCGAACACACCATCTCCTGGTGAAAATATCATCGTGGCTTACGGTGCTTACATAAGACGATAACGTGTCCGTTCGTTCATTCGTTCGTTCATTTGTTCGTTCATCCGGAAAATTTCTTATTCCCAATGGATCCTTCTTTTCATTTAATCGTTATCATTATTTTTCTTTGTTCTGTTTGTTTGTTTAGAAAACCATCATGAAATCATTTCATGATGTTCATCAGTCGTGTGTCATTTTTCGTGTGTTCCTCTTTTGTATACTCGATGCAATTATCGGCGTTAACAAACGCAAATCTATTACCATTTCTTCCTTTTTTTTGAAGCAAATTATTTCAGTCAGCCAACTGATTATCCAACCGATTAATAAACTACTGAGAAATCCGAGTGGACAGTACCACATGTAGGATAATCGGTAAAGATAAAAAATAGAATCCTTGTTGGTTAACCTATGAAATGTTTATGTAGATTAGTTTGATAATTTATTTGAATTTATTATAATACTTACTTATCAAATGTATCAGGCTTCATTATATTCTTATAAGTTGAATTATTGATGCATCCAATTGTGGATACTGGTAATTTTGGTATGGGTGCTTTAGGTTGACCGAAACCAATCCAAAATGAAAAAGCTAAGCCAAGTATTAATCCAGTGATAGCACCCTTTTGATTTCCGGTTTGAGTGAACATACCCAATGTAAATGTACCCAATACTGGTCCTCCAACTACACCAAATATCGTTAGAGCAGCTTGAAGTAGTCCACCCAAGTGTTGTGCTAAGAAAGCTACTCCCAGACACATTGATCCAACAACGACTGCTAATACTTTGCTAGCAACTATAGATCTTGTCGATGACATTTCTTTACCTTTACTAAAACAAAATGTGAATTAATTTGAAAAGAACTCTTAAAGATTTTTTTATTAAATGAAGTACCTTTTGTATCGGTACAATGGTTTAATGTAATCCTCGAGAATAACTGCGGACAAGGAATTGACCGTTGCAGATACCGTGCTCAATCCGGCACTGAAAATTCCAGCTATAAAGAGTCCAGGTACTCCAGGATACTTTGACAATGTTTCCATTACGTAAAATGGCATAAGTTGGTCGTTGGAAGTGATCCTTCCAGAGTTCAAGGGATCACAATCACGATACTTAGAATATATCGACAAGCCAGCAAAGCAAATGGTCAATGACATGATAGACGCTATTGGCCAACTACACCAAAGAGCCCGTTTGGCCGCTCCCAGATTCCTGAAAGGTACATTCGCAGGAGATAGATATTCTTGCTAAGTCGAGACACATCGATCTACAGATCAGATATTAGAAATATATCAGAATGATCTTTTCCATATAAGATTGAAAAAGTCCATATGAGGGTGGTGGTGGTGGTGGTAGGGAGAGGGTAGCTACTTACTTGACAGTTAGCATTCTTTGAACTTGAACTTGATTGACACCGTACAAGGAAAGATACGTAAAAAAACCACCAACCGATAAGCTCCACCAAGTATGTCGTACTGTTGGATCAGGGGAAATGCTATTTTTTGTGTTCAAAAAATTAAATAAAAATTAATATACAGTTAGGAGAAATCAATAGGATAATTTATAATATAAGATAGATGATTACTTATCAAATTCCAATCGCGAACCTTCAGCAGCAATTTCCCAAATTCTTGCAAGCCCACCAACGTCTATTGCCGCGGTAACGATAACCGTGATAACTGCTATAATCATTAGGGCACTTTGGAATACGTCGGTAATGAGTACCGCCTTGATACCACCGATCGCCGAGTAAAACGTACAGACCAATCCGATGCCGATCACGCTCAAACTCCTGGAGATATCTGTCGTAGCTTCCAACGCGAGTGCCGGCGCGTAGAGCACGACGCCGGTGTACAAAAGAAGTTGTAGGAAAAAGGCGACACTGGCTAACAACCTTGTCGGCGTACCGAAACGTTTCTGAAGATACTGCAAAAGTGATCTCACTTTTAGATACGCCAATAAACGCAACAAGAACAAGAACACGACGACAACAGCAACAGCAGTAGCAAAAAATGCAGCAAATATGTTTGAACATTTTTAACCCTGATCATATTCATTCATTTTTATTTATTTTGCTTATTGAATTTATTTGTTAAGAGAATCTAAGTAGTAGGATTATATAATACTAAAATTCAAACGCGCGCACGCAAATACACAGACAGAAACGCGGCATGATCCGTAACGGGTTAGGCTTCTCTTTTCACGTGAAATAAGCGTGAAAATGATTCTCCTCGGGTGTATGTTAGGGAAGTATACTACTCACTTCGAATGCACTGGTGGCGTCGAGCTCAAAGAAAACAGGCAAGTAAAAGTAGACAACGAATGCAGTAGCAATGCCGTAGGAGATGTTTATCACCGCGTACTGAGAACCGTAAACGTAAATTTCCGAACTGACTCCTAGTAGGCTGACCGCCGACAAGTATGAAGCCATCAAGCCAATCGCTACCGTTAAGACGCTCATAGATTTGTTTGCTACGAAGTATTCCTGTATTACAAACAGAAGATATTATTATTACTTTTTTCTAATATAACACATTATAATACATTGTTTTTTACCTCTGTCGATTTTTGTCGTCCACCTGTTAGCCAATAATAAACACCGATACCAGAACTGATGAGTAGCATCACCACGATCACCACATAATCCGCTGTAACTAATTTGGCTGTCATCTTGATAACTTGAAAAATAAAAACATTCATTATTAATCGTTAGATCATCATCAATTAGAAAACAATTATGATAATAAGACAATATCGTTTAAATCTAATATATTACATTATAACACTGATGAGGTTAAATACAATTTTGACGATGAATTTTGATTTTGAAAATATATCGGCACCGATTACCAGAGGGAACAGGTGTGTCCCAGCTGGTAATAAACTACATGGTATCAGTATCAGTAACATTATACAAAAGTGTAGGAATATCGCTTATCAGTGTATCAAAACTTAAGTGATGTTTATTCGAGAATCTGTTACACAGATACGTAACTTTTAATCTAATATGTAACCAGTTCATTAGTTAGATATTTCGAACGAATATACAACGTGTACTTTCTATCTATATACTTCTTACGATTTATCTTAATTATGAGGTGGTATTGCAAAAAAAGGAAAAAAAAAACATGAATCAAGAATATACCGGTTCTCTCAAAAATATCATTTGTCACATATTTTCAGAAATCCAAATTTTAGAAAAAAGAAAAAGTGAATACCACACACTGGATATTTCTGGTGTCTGACAAGGACAGTATCTTTCGTGATGCCTATCAGTTTTAGAAGAATTTTTATTTTTTTTTTTTTTTAATGTAATCCTATGTATGATAAGAGAAACACCTCCTTGTTTGATAAGCTAGACAATAATTATTTTCACATGTATATGTGAACTACGATATCAGTTTAACTCATGATTCGTTTCATTCTTTCATGGACTTTGAATTGGATGATCCAATCCGGATGATCCAATTGAATTTTTTGTTGAAAAAGTACGCGATATGAACAACAACAACAACAACAATAAGAAGTAGAAAGGGGTTGCATTATACACACATAAGATGCATGTATATAATACGTATCTACATACATGCGTGTATATATATAGGTATACATATATTTACTGCGGTTTTCTTTTTGAGCGCGAGCGAAGCACATGGGGTCGGTGATCGCGAAGAGAATGCTGTAGGGACGCAGGTTGAACGGCTGCGAAATGCGTCGTCGTCGCTGAGAGGTTCGATGAGGCAAGAGAGGAGAAAAGAGAGAAAGAGAGGAGAGGAAAGGAGAGACCGGCTTTTATAATGGCGAAGCAGCTATGCGGGTAACCGAGTAAAAGTATGAACGTGGTGCTGAACCGGGGTCCAAACTAGTAAGTGGTGGTGGTGGTGTACACAAATGGAAACAACGGGGGTTGATTCTCCTTAAAAGAAAGTGGAGGAGTCTAAAGATCACGAGAATAACTTGGAAAATATTGGATTTACTTTCGTAGAGGGGTGGTTGAAGATGGGGTTCTAAAAAAGGATTCTTCATCAATTGTTCTTTGATAATTATGAACGTTTTTAGCAAGGTGCTGAACTGGGGTCTAAAGTAGTAAATGGTGGTGATGGTTGTGGTGTACACAAATGGAAACAATAGGGGTTGATTCTCTCTAAAAGGAAGGATAGGGGTCTAAGGGGCACGAAAACTCATGGAAAATTTGAATTTACTTTCATAGGGGGCTGGTTAAGATTAGAGTGGCTAGAAAAGGATTCTTCATCATTGTTCTCTGATAGTATGACACGTTTAAAACAAAATCTTAATGAAAGTTTTTATTATTAGACAAGGTTATGATAGGGGGTGACGGGGGATACATGAATGAACGGTAATAATGAAATTAGGTTATTTATTTTGTGTTTTTTAGTGTGAACGTTGGACGTAGCGGCGACGAAATGAAGCATGCAGCATGCGTGGTAGCGGTGTCACGGCTGCGCGGTCTTGCCTTCAACCTCTGGTGTCCGCCAGCCGCTACCTCGCTGTGCACGCCCTCCCTGGTGATCCTCTTTACTTCATTGCTGAGGTAAAAAAATAATAAACAAGTGTGATATATTAAGTATATAACTCTCTTTCTCTCTCTTTCTTCTTTATCTTTATCTTTCACTTTTTTTCCTGTGTATTAATGAACACCCTTATATTATAATCTAACGTAAGATGAAATTATTTTGATATGTTTGTTAACAGGAGTTATATCAAAATTTGTTATACAAAATATTATATAAATATATTTTATAATATATTATAAATATATATATTATATAATTATATTATAATAATATAATAATAATATAATATGATAATAATATATAATAATATAATATAATATATTATACAAATATATAAAAAAAATGGTATATAATTAATAACCACATATATGAATAGAGATTATTATTATTTACTTCCTGTTACAAACTATATATTGATTTTTACCACGGGACAATGGGGTAAAGACGAACGCAAAAAAAAAGGTATATATACAAGTAGTATATTGTGTTGCATGGTATTGTAAAGGATAAATTGTTCATGATAAATCGCCTGGGATACTGAACGAGATTATTCCCAGCATAGTTTTGTTCCTCCCCAGTTGTACATACGTACGATAAATACACCACCACCTTACCACCACTATCACATGATTCTTCTTTCTTTCTCCAATCCATCTTAACGTTCTTATATAGGAGTGTACTTTCTCACACGATAAGATCTACCTAATTATAACAAGAAAGAGAGAAAGAGAGAGAGGGAGAGACTCGTTTGTAAATAACAAATTTAGATTCCTAACTATTCAAGGAAGATTCTCCTTTTCCTTTAACTCGATCGTTCATTCTGTACTGGCAAACTTAAGTATATCGACCTCGAATATATTATTATCCTTAAAGTTGGTTCTATTTCCTAGTCGAATGTTTTCCTATCTTTTGCATTCCTCTTTTTGAGAAGAACAAGAAGAAGAAGAAGAAACTATTGGGTTGTCAACTCTGTTGTAAGTCATTGCTGATTTTAAAAAGCAACCTATCAAAACACACAAAATCCTCAATCATTTACTTGCCAATTCAATATTTGAAAAAGGGGTTAAAATATCCTTTTTTTTTCAAGATGGATGACCGAAATTAAAACCCAACAAATAAAAAGAAAAACAAAGAAACTTTGCTGTAGTAGATCGGATAGAACGATTTTATGCTTGCAGAGAGAGAAAGAAAGAGAAAGAGAGAGAGGATTTGTTGGGGTGGATCGGTGTTGGCGTTGGAACGCTTCGAGGAATTTCAAATATTCGATAAGAGACGATAAATCGTCCTCCTCCTACCTTGGCGTGCGCGCGAGAGCTCACATGCATTCCATGGTCAACGTTTACGAGACGACGACTACGACGATGGTCTACCTACCTACCTACCTACCCACCTACCTATCTACCTATCTATCTACAACTATCCACCCTAACAGGGATGAGGAGGGCAAACTTTTAAATGCATTTTCGTCCCTCTAGATTTTTCCTTGATTTTCTCTATCAACAACCTTAACACACATAATCTTTATTTTACATTTTTATTTATTTTGTTATACCTTTTTTTTACACACTGTATATTAATAATTACATTTAAATATATATATTTAATATTATTTATTATATTAAAAATATAATATATAATAAAATATATATATATTTATTTAAATCATTATTAATTAATATTATATATTAATTATTATATATAATATTATTTAAATATTATTAAATTTATGTTAATATTATTCATTACGTTAATTTCAACCTGAAAACAACACACACCCTTACACACAACAAATAGTGTACTTGTACCCCTCTTAGGTTTTTATCTCATTTTATTGATTATATATTTGTTTTTTAATTTTTTCTTTCACTCTTTTTATTTCTTTCTTTCTTTTCTGTATTCTCTTATTTAATTTGTAGACTTGTAATATTTATTTTTTTTTTTAAATTTTTGTTATTAGGCTAAGTCAAGAGTGAAGGAGGTGTACGCGCAGACATGCATGCTTCTCGGTCAGCAGGGCATGCGAGACTGCGAACTCTTCGGATTGGCCATATTATCCGGTGAGTAACTTTCCCTCTTGGGCCAACCAAACTTCAACTTATTTTTTTAATACATTTTTACTACTATCAACCTGTACTTTTCATCCCTTATCATCTTTCAATGTTCATTCATTCCTATACGATATTAGACAATCCTTAGAATTACACAACAACAACAACAACAACAGGATCCAACTTTGTAGATAAAATCCAAACCTTGTTATCCTGGTAATACACCCTTTATCCTTACAAAACTATCCCCTATTTGGAATCCTTAACAACAATAAATCTGAAACATATATAAGACGAATATAAAGGACCAAAAATGTCGGAAGAATGAAAAGTAAAATAAGAAGGGAAGAGAGTGGATATAAAAATTTGGTTAATCTCGTGGTCTTTATGCATACCCAAGAGATTCTTCTCTTCCTCCCTTCGTCGCGTCTATCGTCACCCGCCACCCTTCGGCCTTCTCCTTTTACCAAAAGAGAGAGAGAGAGAGAGAGAGAGAGAGAGAGAGAACAGCGAGACGAGCCGGTTCGACTGGTATCCCCACCAGGTGGACCCTTCTTGGACTTTACGGAGCCCTGCAAACCCCTCCATTCTACATTCCAGCGGTACCCCATCACTGTGAGCCAGTGCTGGCAGGTTCTAAGGCGCGCGAGCCATACCACGGACTCTTCAAAGTAGAAGGGAAAGGGAGAGGGATACAAGTAAAAAACGAAATATCTACTTTTTCCTTCCTATTTCCTTACCTTTTTTGTTTTACTTTTTATTTTTGTTTTTTTCAACGAGTAGAAGAAGATATAGTCGGCAAACCTATATATAATCTTCTTCTTTCAAACTCATAAGAGAGGTAGTAACCCTAATCAACATTAACGTCGATACGATTAGATTTTATCTCTTTTGAAAGTATTCATTCAATTTCTCTGAAGTTTTCTTATTTTGCCACGCAACTTTTATCTTATTCCTCTAAAGGATTTTTTATTGACATATAAACAAGTCTCTCTAGTGCGTTAATATCTTTTTATTTCTTACTATATATATATATATATATATATATATATATATTGATATAATTGCAATACGCATGAGATAATAAACACGAAAGGTTGGTAGTTATCGTAAACTTTATAAGGATCATCATCATCATCGTCGTAGTAGTAGTTATATTGCCTATCTTACTATCTATCTTTTTATCTGTCTATCTTGCAAAAAAGATAACAAAAAAAAAAAAGAATGAAAATATATAAAGAAAAAAAGTATTTCTTATTACAAAGATATTTGAATTCGATCATCATAAAAAATCTGAAGTAAAGGATAAATATCATCCCCCTAAATTGATCCAGAAAAGAAAAAGAAAACAAAAATTAATAATAATAATATTAATAATAAAAAAAGAATTAAAAGTGCAAAGAAGAGTGGCAGGAGAGCACAAGGATGAGGATGAGGAAGAAGAAGGTGGATAGAAGTAGTGAGTAGGTTGTAAGAGAAATAGATGGAAGAAGAAAGAGAAAGAAAGAGAGTCAAGAACTATAAAGAATAGAAAGAGAAGCAACGCGATAAATGAGGGAGATAATAGGTTGCCTTAAGAAAGAGGATGCAAAAAACAGAGAGAGGTAGTGGAGAAGAAGAAGAAGACCAGAAAGAAAGAGAAAAAGCAAAAGATAGAGGAGGCGGGAAGAAGGGCTCAAGAAAGAAAGAAAGAAAGAAAGAAAGAAAGAGAAGGATCTCCCCGGGTAAGACGGTAGCTCGGTGATTTGTATAGGGCCTCTCGTATTCCACCTACCGCCCTTACGTCTCCGCCGCACGGCGTCTCCGAGCCCAGGAATGTGGAAGGAGAAGGAGGAGGAGGAGGACGAGAATCGTCAGCGTAGAACGGCGGCTGCTGCTGCTGCGGCCGCGGCCTTACGGTGGTAGACGAACGGGGTACAGGGAGAGAAAGAGAAAGAAGGGGGGCCCCATAACGCGCTTGCTTGTAGCTTCAGAGTTTAACTGAGAGAGAAAGAGAGAGGGAAGATATCGGAGGGCCCCAGCAGGTCCAGCGGATATACACCTCGTCGGAGCCAAGCCTTCTCCTCCTCCTCTTCATCTTCATCCTCATCCTCATCCTCATCCTCATCCTCATCCAACGAACGAACGAGAACCTCTCTGTGTATGTATGTATGTATGCATGTGTGTGTGTGTGTTACGAGCAACCTCAACGTCCTTCTCTCCCTCCTCCCCCTTCTTTCTTTCTCTCTTCCTTTTTCACCCTTTTCATTTTTTGTTTTACTTTATATTTTTTGTTCTTCTTCCCTTCTTCTCTCCCTTTTTCTTTCACTCTTCCCTTCCTTCAATCTTCCAAACCTTTCCTTCTCCTCTTCCTCCTTTTTCTTTTTCTTCTTCTGTTCCTCTTCTTCCATCACCTTTTTCGTTATTTTTCCTTCTTCCCTCTTTTATTTTGTTTTCTTTAGTTTTATTTTTACGTTCGTATATAACAGCGTCCTTTCTCCATCAAATCTTATAAACAGCACCTCTTGCGTCAATTGCCAAACGTCAGCAGCAGCAAACCGGGCAAAGGTCCTTTTCCTTCTTCTTCCTTTCATTGATCGATCCCTCAGGGAAAGGATATTCTTCTTCTTCTTCTCCTCCTCTATTATACTCGTTGACGTGTCTTATATTATTCTAACTCGATGATTTATTTTTCTTACTAATACTTTTCTCAAAATTGTTGTCATAACATGTTTGAATTCTTAAATTTATTGTCAAAGGTTTAAATTCAAATAGAAGAGGAAAATAATAGAATTTAAAAACGATAGTTTGTAAGTATGCTGTTTGGATTTAAAAAAGAAAAAAGAAAAAGACATTGGAAATAGGATATTTTCCTGCGTTCGCTAGGAGGAGAGGGGGAAGGGCCCATCTACCCATCCCCACTCCTCCCCCATTTTAGCAAATTCCGCAGTTCGCGGTGAATTTTTGCGCACACGTGGAGTCTTGGTTCCGTGTGGTTAAAGTCAGAGGAGAAAGAAAAGTGGTGTGGTGGTGGTGCTGTTCGTCGAGGGAGGCTGGTAGAGAGGGAGGGAAAGAGGGAGACTTTATCGAGGTGGGGAGAACAGGACCGTCGGACTCGAAAAATCACTCCCGACAAAAAGTACCGTCCACGCAAATACTTATGTGCGCGCTCGGTTTAAAAGAAGGACACGCGCGCGTGCTCTTTCATATCAAAGAATGCCGGCGCTTGATCAAGGAACCGATAAAACTAGTCTAATCGTTTTTTCTATAGGGGTGAAAGGGGGAGCGGTAAAAAAGAAAGAAAAAAAAAGCATTTAAAAATGCATATACGTGCATATGTGTATGTGTACCACATTGATGTATACATTCTAACATGACTGGGGGTGAGGTGGACTGTGGGGAGATGAGGGAAAGAAAGAAGAAGAAAAAAATTGATAGAAAAATGATGGAAGGTAGAAATATTGTGTGTGTATGTGTGCGAGAATGAAAGGGCGAGGAGGAGGAACAGGGGTAGGGGCAAGGGTAGGGGGTAGAGTTAGGGGGATAAAGAAGAAAGAGGAAGAGGAACGTGCGATCACAGTGGATAGGATCGATCCCCGATGAACTCGAGAATGGGTGGATGCATGAAGAGGGCTAGTGTTAGTCCTCGGGCAACATTCTCCGGTAATGGCCGGGCTGTACCTCGAGAGTAACACAGGTGCCCCTTTCGTCTCGAGGAGAGGAAGACCTTAAGAGAAGAAGAATAACTCGATTCCAACTACCTTTCTCTCCCTCTTCCTTTTCTTTCTTTCTTTCTCCTCTCTTGAATTCTTTCTTTCTCTCTCTCATTCCCGCAGAAGAAGAAGAAGAGCTAATTATTGCTTCGAGCATGTCGTTCGGCTGATTATAGAAATCGAGACGGCTTCCTGCGGTGAATCTTTCGAAGCATAATCCCACACCACATATAGTTTAACTCCTACCTAATCTTCTACTATACCTTATAAGTTAGATAATATTTTTTTTTTCTTTATTATTCTTCAGTTTGTCTTTTTGGGATCGAAGAAAAAAAATCAATATTTATATTTAGGAAGTTTGAATATTATTACAATTAATTATTTCGTTAGAATGATGATCGATGATTGATCATCATTATCATCATCTTCATCATTATCATCATCATCATCATTATTATTATAGTTGGATGTCTGTAAGGGTGACGAAATTTTGCAACCTGAGTCGTTGTAAGAAAAAGTATCTCGTTGTAGTTGACGAGTGTCCGGCCCCATGTGGCCAGGACAAGTTTCGGGAAGTCTCCTCTCATTCAAGAACATCTCTCACTGTGATGAGGAGGAGAAGAAGAAGAAGAAGAAGAAGGAGTTCTTTCATTGTTTCGCTCGTTTAGGAGTGCATTGGTATTTCGGACCGATCACTCCTCGAAACAACAAAAAAAGATTCGAATAAAAGGAGAAGAATGGATACCATAGCGTGGAAGAACCATATCGGGACAGGCGCGAGCTCGAACGCGTGACTTGTACAGGTTCATGTGGGTCAGCCAAGACATCATCGTAGGGTGATTTCCCTTTTCCTCGACTCTCTGACTCGTACTTTATTATACCCTAATCATATCCTATATTTCAATGATTAATAAATTATTAATTAAAGTTAAAACAATATTATTTGACATTAAGTTAAGCATCAAACACACACACACACACACACTATTTTAAATATTATTTAGCCATATTATGTAACACGATAATTTATTTAAAATCATTTATATGTTAATACAGATGGCGAATACCTATTCGTGGATCCAGAGAATAAATTAAACAAATACGCGCCGAAGAATTGGCGAAATTCGCACACTTACGTAAGTTTTAATTTAATGACCAATTACAATTTACATTGAATGAACATTATTTTTTGTATCGTCAAATTAGTTTAAACGAAACTCTCTCTCTCTCTCTTTTGGCATTTTTCCGTTCGTTCATTTTATCGTGAAGATGGTTTAAAATTGGGATAGGATTTTAGTAGCGACTGTACTCTCGGAAGCATCCCGCGCGCGCGCTGATGCCAAGAGAAGAGGGAACGGGTGTTGGGAGAGGGCGGCTCCAAAGAAGGGTGAGAGAGTAGCTCGGTCGGGCGCCGAAGGGAAGAAGGGGGCCTTGGACAGGCTCGCGAACGGGAGCGGAGGACACGGAGACGGAAAAGGACTGAGGAGGAAGAGAAGGAGGAGGAGGAGGAGGAGGAGAGTAGAAGGGAATGAAAGGAGAGAAGAGGGCTTCGGGGCCTCTTTGGTAGAAAGGGAAAAATATGCACGATCTGGATGCTGGATTAATATTTATAGTTGCTAAAATATGCGCCCTCTCGGCTATAATTTCCTACGATTCTTATAGCCCTTCATCCACGTCCCTAGGTCCTCCCCAAACAGAATAAGAAAAGAAAACTAAAATAAATAAAAAGAAAAAACGATACCAGAAGAGTAGTAGTCCCCCATTCTATGTCCAATTTTCGACTACCGATTATATTCGCTACCGTGTCTGGCTTCCGTCTTACATTTCTTTTTATTCGGATCTCCCCCCTTCTCGTGTCGCGTCGTGCAGTTGCTTTATACAACACCTCGACTTTTGAAAAAGGACTTTTGAAGAATTCCTTTTTTCTTCAATTTCTTGCTTTTTCGGTTTCAGGGTTTGGACAGCAGCGGAAGACCCGCTTTTATACTTTATTTTCGTGTTCGTTACTACGTTGACACGCCATTGCTGTTAAGGTAAGATGATAACGTTTAAAAAGGCGCAAATAAAAAGTATATAATCTAAATAATAAAAAGAGTGTTAACTTGTTAAGACGATAAGAAGGTTAGAGGGGGAGAGTTGTTTGCCGTGTTGTTGACTCGATTTAGAAGCAATTAGATATCATCTTGTGCTTGTATCAACATCATCATCATTATCATCATCATCATCATCAACATCATTATCATTATCATCATCATTATAATCATCATCATCATTATAATCATCATTATTATCATTATCATCATCATCATCATCACCATCATCATCATCATCATCATCTTGAAATCGTTTCAGCGATGAAACTACGCGACATCACTACTACCTGCAGTTACGGGACAACGTCGTTAGACATGGCGGCGGAGTGGAGAGTCTTCATCCTCACCATCCCCTTCACGAACCTTCGATCGTTACGCCATTGCTCACGCTCGCTGGGCTCGCCCTCCAGGCCGACCTTGGCGATTACTCCGAAGAACGACACAGACCGCACGCTGGATCCGTCGGCTATTGCAAGCCCACGGATTATCTTCCTCCTCACGTACGACCCATTTGTACTTGCTCTTTTTTTTTATTCTTTTCTTCCCTTTTTTTTGTATTCTTCTTTTTTCCCTTTACTCGAGGTATTTTGTAAACGTTCAGTTGTAGTAGTAGAAGAAATCCACTACAATTGGTCGTCCTGTCCATTTTTTTTTTTTTTTCAAAAAACCAAATAGCTAGAGTTTGACCATAAATTTAGTTTCAACAGTTAATCTGTTCTCTATGATCATAAGATCTCGTTTTGATTTGAACTATCAGATGTGCCTCGAATCGAGCGTGCTCGCCGTCCTCGCAGCACAACACAGAGATAATCGTGGCCTCTCGAGGGAGGAGGCAGAACTCCAATACATCCGGGAGGCGTTGTTGTTGGAGGCGCCGCTCAACGCTCACCTATATCGGTTGCGAAGAAGTAAAAACGAGGCAGGCCCAGGAAGGATACTCCTCGCGATTTGCGCTCGCGGTGTGCGAGTCTACGCCGAGGAGGAGACACCGCGTATCTTTGCCTGGAACAATATCAACAAACTCTGCTTCGACGTAAGTTCAAATCCATTTGTTTATTCAACCAATAACAATATCAATTGTCTTCTCTTTTTGAAACATTTGGTAATTGTATAAAGGAATCTTTTCTATTTCTTCTTCTTCCTATTAACAGCGCAAGAAGTTCGAAATACGTGCGCTCGATCAACCGGACAAACTCACTCTCTACAGTGGTTGCGACGACAAGAGCAAGTTACTCTTGGGATTATGTCGGGACACCCATCAATTTTCCATGGCTATAGCACCCAGAGTAAATGAAGCGAAAAGAAGAGAAGAGGAAGGTATGTCACCTTGTTTTATTTGTATTATTATTATCATTATATTTTACAATGATTTCAATTTCTTCGGTATTATCGTCTTCTTCTTATTTTTCCATCGCGAATATTTAAATTCGTCAAATATTTCAGAGAAAAAAGTGTTGAGAGATTGTTACATGTATCCAGCTCGTTGCAAATTGAGTTTAACGACGCGTGGAGCACGTGGCGATCAACGAATATCCGTTATATCCAGCACTTCGTCAAATACAACTTCTGGTATAGTCAGCGATCGAGTTCACAGCGAAGATGAACCGGACACAGCGCCAGCATCGACCGAATGCTTACCTCGCCTTACCGAAAATAATTCTCATGCTAGTATTCAAACTGGAATACCCAAAATTAACGAAACGAACACAGGTGATCGTTCAGTACCATCTCCATCAATGTCTATCGTTGATGGTAAGTTTTCAATTGTATTCTCAATAGCGTGTGTATTTTTGTACGATAACACACACAAAAAATAGACATCATTTACCTTACAATTTTTTCTCCAGAAGTTGACGGTCCCGAAACTACGCCTTCATCAGCATTACGACTTGTTTCGAGTACAAACACCGTGGCTGATGGTTCTCAGTGCAGCAGTAGTTGTAGTACAGTGGTTGTTGCTAATGCATCTAACAATGGAGTTCAAAGAATGCGTCGAACTTCAGCCACGTCAAGTTTGGAGCTCGGTTATTCTCATACCGCTCAAAATTCGGCTGTTTCTTCAGAAACTGCTAGTTTCCCGGGTGCTATCTACGATAGATGCAGAAAGGCTGTTAAATATACGGGTAAGAATTAATACTAATGTATAATCAATTAATATATCGAATGAAACAATATAGATTTTCAAATAAAAACTGATTTATATCTAGGTACAGACATTGCTAGTGAAACGAGTGGTGTATACACCTTAAGAAGTAGTGAAATGCAAGACGAAAGAATTGGAGATCTTTATTCACCAACCAGTGGTACTAATGAATCATCTGCAGCTAGCGACGTTTGTGCATTGAGTTCCGTTCAATCGACCACCGACGAGGCTTCCGTAACTTCAGGATTTTATACGATCCATAGTGGTTTGAGATCTGAAACGAGCGATATTTATACTGACGATATTGGAACGGAAGATCAAGAACCAATTTACAGTCTTTGCAAAGGTGATGAAGAAGTTGACAATGTAGACTCGCTCGATGGCAAACTCGAAGATTCGAGATCACGAAGTAACAGTATAATAAGCACGGGAAGTTTTAGAGGAGACGGTAGTGATCCTTCAAACGTTGGCCCCCTGTTATCTGCCGATGAACTTTCTGATTTGATAGTGGGCCGTTATCCACCTCGTAAAACCATCAGTAACTCGATGGATTCCGATTGTGATTACGTCACTATGCCACCTCCACCTCCACCACCTAGAACTGACAGTGACAGGCAACTTCCACCTCCTCCCCCATATCCAGTAACAATCGATTATTCGCCCATACATCCGTCAAGATTAAAAGTACCAAAAGTTGAAAGAGAACCTCCACCCCCACCACCTTACCACGCCAGTCGGCCTGATTTTACGGGTATGACGTTAAGAATGCCTATGATACCACCTCCAACACCACCTAGAAACGATGCAGTGACACCAAGAGAGCCACCACCACCACCGCCACCTTATCCCGAGATGTCGTCGGACAACATCAGGCAGAAAACAATTTCTGCTCTCTATCCAATGATAGTCCCCGAGGATATGGTTAATCGACTTGCTTCTACGAAAATAAGTGCAGCTGTTACGGGAAGTCAACCGAATCTTTCGTGTAATCCTGGAATTAACGATGCACCGCGGCTTCAACCTAAAGCACCACCCAGAATACAACCACCTACATATCCGGGTGACAAAATGAAACCTACACCAGTACACGCACCCGTTGCTGCTCTCGTGGTCGGTCCTAACAACTATTTGGATGTTCATGCTTCTCGAAGTGGTCCAGTATTGTTACCCTATTTAGGTTCGCAGCCACCTCCGCCACCACCACCGCCACCACCATCTCCTCCACCACCGATGCTACATCCTAGACAACCACCGCCACCACCACCGAGTTTAGCCACCGTTTATACTAGCCAAGTGGCCAGGTCACAAATAGAACAGTACAAACAGCAGCTTTACTCAGACGTCGATTACGTTATGTTCCCGTTGAAGGATCCAGCAGTCTCGAAACAGGAATATATCGATGCTAAACAAGGATCCCTATTAGCTGCTATGGCTGCATATCCACCACCACCTTATCCAACTTTCAATAATAAATCAGCACTCATGTATCGTAGCACACCCTACCTCCCCGGTTCCTCATTCTCATCACAATCGAAATACGCTTCCAATCAAAACCTCAGTACCAGCGACAATAGCTCCAATAGTTATTTACTGCATAATAGCTTGAGCAGCCCTTACGCTGCCAGTACAAGCTCCTTATACAGTGGTGTCACATGCTCCTCAATTGGTAGTCAGAGTCTAAGACGAGATCTGCCAAATCTCGTTCATCCTCACACTATGCACGCGTTTTCTAGAACGAAGAGCGACGATAATATCCTGAAATGTTTCGATTCTCCATCAGGAACAAAATTGAAATCTTTACCACATGCTAAGCAACATCGTAGATTACCACCGCCACCTCCACCACCACCATACGAAATACAAGTAAGACTCGATAACATTTAATTACTTGAATTATTACTATTCAAATTACAAAGAGTTTCATTAATTAATTTGTTTTTTTTTTTTCTTAATCTCTAAGAGTCTTGATGAAAATCAACCGTTACCATCGGCCATTGCGTGCCCGGAAAACGTATCATCGAAAAAATTAATGAAATTATCGGCCGAAGAGGAGCCAGAAGGTAGAAAAGAAGATCTAATGCTCGATATTAGAACTTTACGTGAGAAGAGTCGGAATTTGGATCTTCCATTGATATCTGCCCTATGCAACGATCGTTACTTGTTAAAGCAAACTAATGCATTCGTTATGCCTAAACATCCTAGCGAATCTAATTCTTCAGGCCTTGTTAAAAGCAGTTCCAGAAGCGGTACTGGAATGAGTTCTTCTAATAGGAATAAATACCCTGTAAGTGGATTATCAACGACACAAATAACTAAGCCACCAAGAAAATCATCGACGAGTACTCACAAACATCCGGCTGAATCGAAGGGTAACGCTTACAAGGTGAACACAACGTTAACTGGAAAGAAAGATTCCTCAAAAATGTCTCATTCGTAATATAAGATAATATCATCCTCGTGACGTTTAAAAGTATCTTAAAACGAAGGAAGGAATTATCATGTACCTTTATCGTGTGTTGCCTCTGTGTTATTGTTAAGTTTCAACGTGAATTACAGAAGATCCTGAATCACGAATAGCTAATATTAAAAGTATAATACTTCCAGAGCTCAGGGTGCCAATTTCGGTGTGTACTTCGTTGACTTCGTTTCGACTCGATAATCCTAAAAGCGAATAGATATTTTCTACTACGTATATTATAATTATTATTATTTTATTATTATTATTATTATTATTATTAATATCTAGAATTAATAGGATTAACATACAAGCAGTACAAGGCATCGTCACTGTCTCATTATTGTAAATTTCTCGTTACTACTTTTTGTATCTTCTTCTTTTTCTTCTTCTTCTTCTTCTCTTTATCTTTCTTTCTTTCTTCCTCTCTCAAATTTCACGTCTTCGGACTTAGAATGGGTGCTAATGCGGTACCAATGTCCTATAATCTTTTCATACGTTGGGAAATTATGAAGGACTGATATTAAGCTCATAAAATTTGTCTAAAAGTTCGCGTCTTTCTTCATATGTATATGCTTTTCTATAATTATGAATTTTCCTTTTTTTTTACTATTATATTTAGGAACATGTATACATATATACATATATATATATA